TAATCATGCAAAAGATATATTTATTGGCACCACGAAGCCGTTTAAGTACCAACCCACTTTGACATTTTGTTTTCATAACAATTATTTGATCATCATAAATACTTTTTTTATATAAATTTTGTTTACAAAGTTGCTTTATATACTAAAGTTCAAGAAAAGTACAAAAATGTTTTTTTTTTAAAAAAGTGTTTTCTTGTTAAAGAAAATTAATCTCAAAACTGAATTGTGACTTTTTGTCCTGTGACTTTTTGTCTGGGACTTTTTGTCCTGAGACTTTCTGTCATACATTCGATAAGTAATACACGAGTCAATGAAAAGTAGGGCTTTCTTTTTACCCGTAAAACACACATGTACTGATGTAATTAAACCTTATTTAAGTGCTTCTTGTATGCCATGTCTTTAAATTTGACAAAAATTATTTAAATTTGATTAAAATAAATTTTTACTGTAACTTTGGAACACATTTCCTTTTTTAAAAGGTTATCAAGGATTGTTATGAAAGTTTTATTACCATGATTATATTAAATTCTTTTTTTATCAAAACAAAGGTGTCATTTTTAAAAATCTTCAAATCAGCTTGGATTTTCATCAAACTTTTCAGCTATCTTTATTATATATTTATCTTACAAAATTTTGTGTTTAGGTGTATTGTGTCAAATTTAAGGACTTAGTTAATACGTAAAAAAAGGCTAAAATTTTCAGTTCTGACAAAATTCAGATAAATAATACCTATAATTAAAATATTCAAATTTGACAGCAATAAACCAAATTACCAAATAACCTGTTTTTTTTGGTAAGATAAATATATAATGAAGATAGCTGTAGATTTGGATGAAAATTCAAGTTGCTTTGAACATGTTGAAATAGTTATAGAATAATTTAAAGTTTACTATCTGAATTTAGTCTGAACTGAAAATTCTAGCTTTTTTGAAATAGATTAATTTAATGCTTAAATTTGACAGCAATACACCAAACTACACAACGACCTGGGATTCAGTAAGATCAATTTATAACTGAAATAGCTGTATAGTTTAATGAAAATCCAAGTTGATTTGAAAAAGTTATCAAAAAATTAAAGTGTACTATCTGAATTTAGTCCAAACTGCAAATTCTAGCTTTTTTTAACCTAGATTAATTTAATGCTTAAATTTGACAGCAATACACCAAACTACATAACGACCTGGGATTTAGTAAGATCAGTATATAACTGAGATAGCTGTATAGTTTGATGAAAATCCAAGTTGATTTGAAAATTTATAAAAAAACATTTTAAAAAGTGTACTATCTGAATTTAGTCCGAAATGCAAATTCTATCTTTTTTTACCTAGATTAATTTAATCCTTAAATTTGACAGCAATACACCAAACTACATAACGACCTGGGATTCAGTAAGATCAATATATAACTAAGATAGCTGTAAAGTTTGATGAAAATCCAAGTTGATTTGAAAAAGTTATAAAAATAATTAAAGATGTCTATCTGAATTTAATCAAAATTTTTTTACCTATTAATTTAATTCTTTAATTTAACAGCAATGTACCAAACTACCATAAAAACTGGAATTTTGTTAGATCTATATGTAATTTAGTTAGATGGGCTGATTTAATCCATATGTTACTTGTTTGTTCCTCAATTAATCCGGTTTATTTCGTTGTAATTAAATTTGTATAGCCTATTTTCTACATTCATACATATGCCATAAAAATATTGCTGTCCTATCAGTGCTGAAAACTAAAAAAAGTAGAAGTCCTATCAAAAATTAAGTTAACAAAAATGTGTGTCCTACTGTGTTTTGCACCGGTCCCAACCCCCCAATAAATATTGACCGGTCCCTAGTGTTTTAATATAGAAATGAAAAATGACAACAACAACAAAAAAAAACACGATCTGACCGCGTTTAAGGTAAAATGTGAATTATAATCCAAAATACCGTACCAGTTTTGACATGTCTAAAACAAGCTAAGTTTGAATATTGTATGTAAATTAAATAAAAGCTCGCCGTTATAAATATTCTGTTACTGATGTCAATGACAGATTAGACAAAACTTATCATAGAAGCTGTCTAGTGTCGCTGTTAGAACTAACATGCATACCCTACCTCATTATAACAAAGAAATACAGACATCATAGAGAAAGACACACATATTTGTAAGAAATGTAAACAAAATCCACAAGGATCCAAAGTAATAGAAAGGATAGTCCCGTTTGCTTACAATATATCACGTGCAATTGACTACTAGTATAACTACTAGTATAAGAGAGTACTCATCATATCACAATGAAATACCTGTTGGTAGTAATCAAATTGTATATTAGTGATGTTTCGGTACATGTAGACCTTTTTACAAATGGGCTGTAATATCATATCTAATGTATAATATTAAATACAAACTTTACAAACTTTACAATAAGAATGAAACAGCTAAGCTCTAGCGGAATTCCTACCAATAGTAGTACATACATTATATGGTATTATTGTATCAAAACACATTTCTTTAAATCAATGAACAAATATTTGCAACAATAACTTTGTAGACTGGGAATTGTTTTTGAAATTCAAACTCTGGCTTCTTATTTAAGTATTTTAAGTGCAGCGATTCATTAAAAAGATCTTACGAGAAAAACTACTCGCAAGTCATGAATAATTAAGAATAACTTACAATAAATTTTTGATGTAAGATTTTGTGTAAAAAGAGCCCCAGCAACTGGTCGTTTCTTTGACTCAATCCACCAAGCAAATCTTTTATTGTGAAGCAGTTATATAAAGAAAGTAGAAACAAACAAACAAATTCATATGAAAATAATAACGAACTATCAAAAAGCATATTTTTCCCTCCAGTAAATATGAATGAGTATATCAACTGTAATATTTTTTGTACATATAAATGGAAAAAATTCTTACTTCCAAAACCTAACTCCCTTTTTCTGATTGTCTAATGCAATGTTTTTAATATTGACAAAAACACATTCCGTATAATGTAAGGACTAACTTACAAACTACCACCTGATTTTTAATGAAAATTGTTAACCAATTTATAGCAAGCATTTTAACTGTAGTCTAGCAATTATCTTAAATTTGGAAACGATATACAATATGCGTTTTACGCGTATAAACAACTGTACGTCTTTCCTTCAATTTGTAAAGTAAAACATTTCTAACAATACCCTTTTTTTACTCATTTAGAAATTATGTCATTATTTATTTTTCTATGTTCTTTCTGCGTCATTGTTGAAAACTCAAAATTTTTGATTTGTACATTTTAAATAAACAACATTACCTGGATATTCACATATTTCTATTAGAACCAATTATTCTTTCCAATACTAATACCCAGTATGTATTTTGTACTTATGTTGTCAATCATCAGAGTTATTTTAATTGTGTACCTCAGTATGTACAATGACATTCTACATATAACAGGCCAAAGGCCATGACCCCAGATGACTACAGAAACTATAATGCCAGTATATTACCTATTGCCTTATTTTACAGAAATTCCTCATTCATGTCGGAGAAACCAAACATTATGTCATCATGGTCAATGTAATGAGACAGACGACTATGGTGGATATGAATGTATTTGTCAACCTGGATATACAGGGAAGAACTGTAGTGAAACAGGTAAGAAAAAGGAGGATTTCTGATGGAACCGAATGTTTAAAGAACTGATTCTTCTCTGAATCTTTTCCCTGAAAAGACAGATATGAATGACTTCAAACTATGATTTTTGACAAACATGACGACTTTAGTTTTCCCATTTCAAATTTCCAATTACTTAGTAGTATAATTTACCTTCTGTCTCGTCTAATTGTGTTTTCATGTCTCAATTGATATGTTACGAAGGTTCATTTTTACATTATACGGGCTTCATTACCAAGGGAATACTTCAAACACAAACATCATTCCAAAGGGGTCGTTAGCAAAAAAGATTCAATTCGACACTACTCAAGTTTTAAGGTCACCATAAACAGATTTATTGACTGTTACAGTGTTCCTGTGTTTCAGCTCATGAATTCGGTCTTATATCTTAAGACAAATCTTAGTCGTATGAAATTATCAATTCAGTGAAATTCTTTATCATTTTATGTAGTGACAGAGTCTTAATTCGCATAGCAGATGGTACACGCAAAGTAGGAGACTATTACCATTTTAACATGGCAAGTTGCACTTAGTATGAAGTTCATGCTATTCCCCCGACTTTATTCTTTTGGTTGCTTATTGTAAACAGATTAACAACATTTGAACATTGTAAACTGATGTTGCCTTCAATGTTTCATTCGTTTACCTATTGTCATTTGCAATTTATTATGGAACTTGCCATTATTAAATCTATTGGTTTAACGTTACGGTAACATATATTAAAATGACGTTTAAAAAAATATGAATAAATATACAACATGTACAATGGTATGCAATACCATAACAATGGTCAATTATTTTATAGCAACAGTTACCAGGACAGTTGAGGCAAAGGATGAAATAACCATACTTCCCATGAACAAAAGTATTCCAATCACCAGACATGTGTGGGTTATTACAGCAGAGCCAAACAATGTCATCGTTATAAATATGTCAATGCAAGACAAACAGTTTCGAGTTAAACACAGTTTGATGACTCATACCTATAACATTACGGTAAATAAGTCTTTAAGCCATAACATGTCTCTTCTTTTGTAAAGATAAATTTATAACATAATCTGTTGTAATGAAGAATTTATAATTTGTAAAAAATATTATCATCGAAAAAGATATACGCAAGAATTTGGTACCAAATGAATTTAACTTAAATAGAGAACTACGATAATAATTGTGTATCATTAAAGAGAAGTCGCGATTGTTAAAACTAATAAGCTAAATGGCGATGGGACAGTATTGCTCCAAGTGTAATTATCTATTTTTCTTTTTTAACATTCGATACAAGAATTGACGATGACGCGTAATCTATGGAAAATAAATGCAAATAACTCAGCATATGATATTTGTTTGGTTTATCTTTGTCTCATATTTCAAATTTCATTTAGATATATGATTCATCAAATACACATTATGTGAGAAATATTACCTTGCAAGATTTGAAGACTGTTGAGAAATGGCCTTGGATTTCCAGAAGTAATAACATAACAATTGTATATGAACATCCTATTAAAGACAACAGTCTCATAGTGACATATTCAAGTAAGCATTAATTATCTTAAAAATATTTTTGAATGATCAGGATAAATGAAGAAATATTTTGGAATATTCACATAGTTACGCAGTTTATTGAATCGAAGAGACAATGCATAATAGGAATGCCAGGAATTACAACACATACTGAATAGTACAACAGACCACATCAAACCGAATCTTCTACAAAAAAACAAGGGCGGAATATCACTTTATTATAGAAAGCCAAATTAAATCTCAGTCATTATTATCTTGTCGCATTAAAATACAAGGGTCAATTAAGGAAACGAAATACAAAACATGAAGTGTTAAATATGTTCTTCATCGATGATGTGTTTCTTTCTACCATTGTTGAAATAACAGTTTTAAATTTATTTTTATTTTAGAAGAACCAAAGGTACAATACCACCAAATTACAGCAACAAGTGAAATTCGGACACTGTCCTTTACAAAAACAATATCTCAATTTAAAGACAAAACCTATGTATGGTCAATCATAGGCAAACCAGACCGTATTATTCATATAACTGTATTTGTGAAAAACACAAAAAGTATGCAGGATAACTTTCCTTACATAAAGGTATGATATTTGTATATCACTATATGTTTTTAAAGAACATACATACACGACTAGAATAAAGAACCAATCATAAAATAAGGAAAAGAACAGGTTGATTATGATGAAAACAAAATGTAAGAATGTTTAAAAACTTTATTTTCTAAATTTTATTTGTAATACAAACATTAATATCACATCATAAGAACTTACATACATGCCTAGAACAATGAAACAATCATAATATAAAAATTAAAAGCTGAACATGACGAAAAAGTCTTCAGATTCAATCAAAGCTTTATTAATAAAATTATTTTTTTACTCAAAACTTTGCAGTATCAACAGATAAATCGATTTGACCCTTGAATAAGTTCAATTTCTTACTTCAGATTTATAACTTTGGGGAAAGTCATATGACACATTCATTAACAATAGATGACCTATCAGATGGATCGTATCAAGCTGCCTTTGCTTGTCAAAACTTAACAATCACGTGCAAGCCATATCAATGGAGCAAGAATATACAATTTTTCGTCCACGGTATGTACTAATATAGATCAGTCTTTTAGAGATAGAAAATCCTAAATTCCATGTTTAGTGAATTCAACACCTTTTTTTGGCAAATAGTGTGCATGTGTACGAATTCAAATTTTCTATGATAACACATTCAAGGTTAAATTCCCCAAAAATGTTTATCAGATACATCGATATTACATTTCGCATTTCTGTGTTAAGTGAACATCAACCTCTGTTCTCAGATGAAAACCATAATTTGGCATACATTTAAAACACGTCTGTTTCAAGTTAGAACCCCAATTCATAGTAAGCTTCCTTAATTGAAAAAAAAACTTAATATGGGACGGACATATTATTCCTATTATATGCTATTGGATATATTCCGTATCTGTTATTGTATTCTGCAAAAGAAATCGAATAATTTGAAACACTATGCATCGTTGTGAAGTGGACGAAAAAGTCTCTCTTTGCATGTACATGTACATGTAACATATATCACCATCGATAATCGCCATATGTCAGATAAGGGACCAAATGCGGACATACAGTTAATTATGATACACTGAACACATGTAACAAACAAACAAAAAACAAACTAGTAGTTATTTTATGATACAGTTCAAAATTCCTGTACCAATATGGAAAATGTGTGAACCAAGTCAGGGATATGACAGTTGTTTTCCACTCGTTCCGTTAATTGATAAAGTTTGATTTTATCAGTTGTTTTGGTCTTCCCCTTTGTGAATTTACCTTGGAGGTTGGTTTATTTTTTGTTAATCGTTTTTCCCAGAAGATTTATTTTTCACTTTGGTATTTCAGAAGAAGAAAAAATACAGTATCAACAACTAGCTGCATCAAGCAAATTAACGACCTTGTCTTTGAAACGGAATAAGTCTACGTTTGAAAATACAACATATGTTTGGTCTATTTCTACCGAATTAGATACTCTCATATACATCAAAATATCCCTGAATGAAATGCTGACGGATTATCTTCCAAACATTGAGGTACCTTAATATCTATTTTATCTTTTCTTGTGTGTAGAAATCATATTATTCTCGAGACAAAATGGATTTACTGTCAATTATACATTCCGTAAAGGCAACTGTTCTTTGATATTAGGTAAACACAAAACTTGAAGATGGCGCACTTTTCGTGAACAGTTTTGAATTTGTTCAAGGTATAATTTGACCCACAAAAAATGAAAATGTACAAATTTAACTAACGACGGAAGATTAGAATCTTTTTGAAAAAGATAATATTAAATGGTTTTATACATTCATTATACATAATAATTCTGATTTACGACTGTACTAATAGTTTTCTACACGACAAAATATAACTAATAAGTATAAATTAAGACAACAGTAGTTTACAGATATTTAAATTACTTTAATCAATCAAGAAGACAAACAAAGTTGTAAAGAAAAACTGAGGCAATCGATTGATTTCAAAAAGGAGCGAAACCGGGTGCTTCAAAAGGATAAGCGCCTTCTCCGATGCATGTATCGCACGCCATGCAAATCAACATTCAGGCATGTATATTCCGAGAAAATGGATGTTGACAAATGGAAAGATAGTGTCATAGAATTTATATCTTTAATCACTTTTGAAGTGTTGTACATAATATTATGTGGGTTATAAATAAAACTCTACATGTATTGGGAAGAAACCGAAAAAAAAAGAAAAAAGAAATTAAAATTTTGCATAAAAAATAGGATATTGCAAGGAAACTATATAAACATTTCTCATTCGAACTTTGTAAAGCAAAAAATGCTGACCCTAAATGAATTTTGTTCATCTACCAAAGAAAGATTTTTTAAAAATTTCAGATTAATAACTTTGACGACACAGCCTCTTCTACTTTATTATCATCGGATGAGATAATTGATGGGGAATACGAACAGGAATTTGCCAGTAAAAACTTAACAATTAGTTGTAAGCCCTATCAGTGGTGCAAGAATATAACAATAGAAGTCCAGAGTAATTATATAAGTTTTAAATTTCTATCCAATTCACTGCATCATACATTTATCATTGATTCAGAAATACACGATTAACCTGAACAAAGTAACGATTCACTTAACCTAAACAGCAGAAAGTCAACAGGACTGTGTTACTTTTGATAATTTGAACGCTAAAAATTATCAAAACAGATTTTACCGGACAAGAAGTCTACTATATTAATGAAACTGTCTTCTGACTTCACGATGCAAACCTAAAAAGATCACGTTTCATTCACTTATTTTGTTTTTAATGTAAAAAAGATAATGGCAATTAATGATGTTCGGAATTAATTATCTAATTAGTTTTAATATAAATTGCCGAGGAACTTACATTTTTAATTCCGCTTTACTCTGCAGCTTGACATTTAATGTGTAAAGAGTACTCTAAGCTTGTGATAATTTATAAGAACAAACACTTAATCCCTTTTAAAACAATCATGCAATCGAATAGTTGGCATATTTGAATTTCAGAAAGAGAAAAGGAAGTCATAGAACATATAAATGCAACTACAGATATATCAGTGTTATCTGTTGGAAATAGTACAGCTGTATACGAGAATAAGACTCATAATTGGACTATATACGCTCATCAAGATCACATTATATATGTAGCTGTAACTCTATTGAACTATGAACAAATGTATGGAAAAAGCTTTCCGGACATTGAGGTATGTGTTAAGGATTTTACACTACACGAAATCCTGGATTTGAAGAGGTATGCAAATGTTGTGTAAATGTATTCAGAGACCGACATTTACATATATTTACAAACCGCTGCAGTTAGTTTATCTTGTCTTTACATGTAGTAAATATCAACATTTCTTGTGCTATACCCTCCTATGGGCGGTTATGAGAGACCGCGGTTTATTAAATGTATTAACACCTAATCAAACCATTTTAAAGTTTAGAATTTGCATATATTTATGACCATCTCAAAACTTTCGCAAACTTATGTATTTGTATACCTCTGCAAATGGAAATCTTTGTCATGTATTTTTCTATGATGTAAATTTATCCGCAAATGTCTTTCTTTGTCTAGGTAGCAAAGCATCATCATTCAAATAACTTTATAAGGGTTATAAAGTGTAAGGTGCATCTTCATTTGCCTGGTATGTAAACCAATTCAAAACGAGAACTTTATAGAGGGATGTAAAGCATCATTTCCTTTAATCTGCAGAGACCTGTCAAATGTATTGTAAAGGAATATTTTTGTTAGTCTTTATAGTCGGCTGAAATGTATGTCAAATCAGAACATATCAAAAGCCTTTGAACATATTCCTAAATGTATGGTAAATACATAGATTTGCAGACAATTTGTTTAATTAAGAAATGTGGTCAAATGATAATATCAATGACATGTGTAAATATATTGGGCATATGTAACTTTGAATACATATGCAAAGAAATGATAAAGAAAGATATTTCAGACAGCTAGAAATGTATGTGTAAATATATTGGGCATATGTAACTTTGAATATGTATGCAAAGATATTATAAAGAAAGACAGCAAGAAATGTATGGTAAATATTTATATTTGCTTTTAATTTCCTGATATATTTGAAAGGTGCAGATTATATGGACAAATATTGCCATAGCTTTTAAAAATTACTGGTCCAGCTATGATATGACAAATATAGTTGCTTTGGGATTGGTTTTGGCATATTGGTAATATCATTTATTATACATGTATTTTAATAATTTCGTTTTAATAAAAAAAATCGGGTCTACAAAATCGGTTCTTGATCTCTTCTCTGTTTGATGTACTGCGGGAATTTCTTTATCCATCAAAATCTTCTATTCTCGGGAAGTTATGACGGTTCATTCGCATAGCATAAAACGATTGTTTCCTTTGAGTATCTCTTTGAAACTTCTGGAATTGCACGAGTCATAATTCACTCTGTTTATAAAACATAGAATTTGTTTTTTTTTAAAGAGACATATACTACAATATGTATTATATGTTACTACAGAGACATATATACTATATATATATATGTGTCTGGTTACTGGTAGAAATAATTAATACACATATACAAATTAAGCCTAAACAATACTAGATATGCGACCTCAGTATCAAATTTAAAATCGGTAGCATTCGGATGGTTATCGAGCGATTTATCAAGTTTTTATTAAAAGTCCATGTTTCTGAAATAGTCTAGAAATATTCCTTCATCGGTAGATTAGTTGCCACATAATATTTGACACAAAAAACATGTTGAGAGAAGGTTTTTTTTTAAAGAATCGGCTAGTTTGCACACATATATAAACGTTAAATCTATTGACGAATATTTGTAATATTTGTTTTCCTTATCCGTTAAGTCCAGTCACGAGATGTTGAACTCCGTGTGCTTCATGAAGCGTCCTCTGCAAAAACTTTCTTGTGTGTGAGAAAGAAAGTTAAAAATTACAAACAAAGAACCAGTGAGTCACGTGTCATAATTAACACACAATTTACCAATGAAATCAAACAAAATCGATAGATAATATCATTCCATCGACGAGATGTCGCCCTTCCTCCGATCAGCGGGGTTTATCAGCAGTTAAGTGTGACAATTATCACCTTTTACAGAAAGATCTGGTCCGAAAAGATCAATAGAAGACCACCGCTAGTATCAATATCCATCAATATAATAAGGCACACATAATTATCATTTTTTTATGATTTATAAATTGTCTTAAAACAATGCTCCCGTTGTCATTTGATTGTGTTGTTTTTAAATACGCAAAACTAAAATAAGTTATCGAACTATCAGTCATTCGATATCTCATTTACCGCCTATTTTATCCGAAAATTTTACAGCTTTCAAAATTTCTTAATGTACTTTGACAGGAATCGTTTTTTTTTTCCATCATGATCAAATAAGTTTTTTTTTTGATTTTTTTTTTGCAATAATTGCATTTGACATATACTTTGTACACATTTCAATTGAAATAACATTGAAACAAGATTGAAGGTTATATAAGTCACAGAATTAATGTGACGAAGTAAATTTGTTTTAACATAATTCAACAAGATTTGTAAACGACAAATACATATTACACTAATGTTGATAGGGGCTCGTATCATGGAAAATCTATCTTTAAAAAGTATAAGGCAATTGTACCCTTACAAAAAGACGAAGTCTAGACTTATAGTTTCAGCGGAAATTTATATGATTCGTATTTGAATAATGGAATATCTTGCACTTCTTTCTTATACATATTTTACGCAAAGTCTTAAAATAACTACAAGCATCATTTGTCCTTTTACAGCCGAGTCTTAAACATGTATCATTGTACTTGCTTTCCACACAGGCGGAAAATAAGGAAAGAGGGACATACATAAACTACCGTTATTGTTAAATCGCATTGATAAGGTTTTAAAACTCTAAATATGTTGAAATACTAAAGAATAATTTCCAATAAAAAAATAAAACAAAAAAGGTGACAAGCCCTGTGTCTATATATATAGCTAGGCATATTTCTGATTTTACAATCTTTAACTCGCATCATGCTTATCGTTGAAGCTGTTAATATCAATTCTCTATTCTTAAATTTTTGGCCTATCCTTTTCTTTACTATTCTTTATTTTTTTAGCCCATTATTCTCTATTCTGTAAACTCCATCCAAACCCTCATAGAAGATGTCATTCTAGTTATCCAAAACTGTGTACTTATATATCAAGATAACACGATACCGAATGGCATATCTCCCGATTTCTAAAATTTTTGGCACACTTGTACTTTGAATCGAGTTACATCGGCATATGTAATAATTTTTTTTTGTTTTTTCGTAAATTTGATTAGAAAACGTCAATTTTGACGACAAATTTACATAGGGAAAATGCCTTGTTTTAACTTTTTTTTTTCTTTTTGTAAAGATATGTTACAAATATCAATATTTATCAAAGTAACAATAATACTGGAAAGTATTAGTAAATAAAATACATTTCTTTACATGCATGAACGAAATCGAGAAACGTTTGCAAATATAACAGAAACATTTGACAGCATTTACGTTGGTTGTAAATGTTTTATAAACCGCGGTCTCTCAACACTGCCCACACCGCTGTAAAACAGTTATGCAAATTTTAAACTTTGCATACATCTCCTATCCTGGAAAGTGCATGCAAATCTAAGGCCTATCTTTACATATCTTTGGAATATGAATAAAGCTATGGAAATAAAATAATTATCTTTAGCATATCTTTGAGGACGTCCTAAATAATGCCAAAGGAATAATACATTTACATATACATTAGTAGGTCCGCAAACATATCTGGCAGAAAAGTAGTTACATTTGTCAAACATTTACACGATTGGCCAAATTGTTGTAAATCTGCCTTTTCGTGTAGTGTTATTTTGATTAAAATGTATGTTCATTTACGTACAATGTGTTCGTGGACTCATCGAGGTAAAATGTGTTAGGTTGAGATCTTAAAAATCGTTGAAAAGAAACTCGTTCCACCCTACCACATACTCATTTGTCTGTCCTGAGTCAGAAACATCGCCAGGCGTCAATTATCTTTATGTTTCTATGTTGTGTTTTGTCTACTGTTTTTTGTCTTTTGTGTTTTTGCATGGTGTTGTCATTTTGTTATCGACTTATAAGTTTAAATATCGCTTTGGTATCTTCCGCCGCATTGTATTATCATATATTAAATAAATGTTAATTGCTCAGTTTAGGTATTTGATTTTGATTGAATATATCTGATAGCCCCTCTTAAATTATTCACCACTTATGTTTACTCTAGATGATTTACACTTTGACATATTGTAAAGACAACGTCTATTGTTGAAGGCCGTATGGTTCTCTGATACGTCTTTTCGTTTTTTTGTTGTTGAAATGCTGTTTCATTGACGTGTATTCTCATCTCATTTTATTCATATTTATGTTTTAGTTTTTCAAGACACAATAAACTTACAACATAGATAAAAACTCATTGAAGATACTATAATTTACTGCACCAGACTCTTACGTCATCTACATAATTTTCACCATTGGCGCTCGAATCAAGACAGTTTAAATGCCAAATAAATAACAAAAATTAAAGCATTGAAACTAAAAAATTTCATGAAAGTTTTAAAAAGTGCTTTTATTAGCTATGGACTTCTTTGTTGGTTTTAGGCAATAAAAAGTAATTATATATTCAGGGTAAAATAACGAGATGATTGCTTGTCAGAAAAAATAGTATGTGGTATATATTCTACACACGTGTATTAAATAAAACACAATTGAAAAAACAGGATAACGTATGTAGATTTGTATTTTCTGAATACCCGTTTAAAAAAATCAAAATGGAACTGGTATCAGCAGTATATGTAATTGTGTTCATTGTATTATCTTTACAACGTTGTGTTTATGACTATTTTAGTTGAGGGAGATACCAAATTCTGAACCACGAAAATTGGATCTGGATGATTTTTCTGATGGATTATATCTTGATGAATTTCTAACCCCAAAATTGACAATTTCTTGCAGACCACATCGAGCATGCACAAATATAGAAATCAAGGAACATGGTGCGTTTAAATACAATTTGATATGTATTATATATTTCACCAACACCAATAAAAGTTTGTGATCTGAAAAAATTAAAAAAAATTGATTTATAAAAATGAATACATTGTAACTGTTTTGATATTTTATGTTTCTAATCGCTAGGATAAGGTCATTGAAGCGATTTTATAATGTTTTGTAATATAAGTTTTTAGAATGTTTTACATGTTTTGTTTTATTAATCTACTTTGTTTTATTTGTGCCTTTTACTGTGACTTGACAGTTAGTGTTGCTCTCCACCTATTGCAACTTATTCAAAATTCTGACCAAGTTGCAATTTGTTTTATAAAACCAAACTGTTCAACTGGTCAGAAATTTGAACTTACTGCTGTAGAAAACCACAGTCAAGTCGTGAAAGTGTATTTATACCAGAACGATGTTGTTAGGTTACAATTATCAGCAATACATAGAACGATTAAAATGAAGAAACATGTTTTTTTTTTAAGATAATTATTATGTGGTTTTTTATTCAACAGTATGCATAATCTAAAAATTGGTTAATCCTTAAGTTTAATCTGGTAAACCGAGTAAATCATGTTTTTTATTCAATTACGTATTAATGTTTATCTTGTTATCATACAAAGAGTATTTTCTTTTAATTTTAACCATTTCGAATCCACAGTTCACACTTTGAAACGATAATCTTTGCAAACCTTGAAAAATATGTTATGGTCTGCTGAACTTAAATTCTGCAATGTCGTGTGTTTACATTTTACTTATACATAACACTGAGCATATCAAACTACAGACCGAAGTGGTACGATGATGATAAATACACACACATGTTTTTATGTACCTCTGTTTGAGCCCCATTCAGGATAATGAAATCATTTCACCTTAGTTTGTTGCATTACGTATTTACATTATAAATAATTGCCCAGATTATCATCCGTTAGGAAGATCTCTTGTGAGTTACAAAAAAAAAAGAAAACAAAACAAAATTTTATAAATGTCGTGCGTCCAAAGCGCTTTTCTAGATTTATTTTCTTCAGGAACGCTTAAAACCGAATATTTAAAACCCGAGGTTGTATAGGAACCAAAACAGATAAGGAGCTAATTCACCAAAAAAATACCTAAAAATAACAGCCAAATCCATCTAAGGTCTACATTGCCTGATGGAGTTTAAACATTAGTTTTATTAAGTTATTGCTGAGGGAAAGTAAATATATGTACTTGAACCTGTTTTTAGCGGTAATCATTTGAAATTTTGGTGGTAAACAAGAGGTCTCGTCTTTCATATCTTCTTCAATTGGGTATTTTCACAATCAAATCCTGTAGAGAATACTCAGACTAACTAGGAACTAACTAGGATATATTTAATAAAAACTGATGAGAAGTGCGTTAATCATATCAATCTTTGAAACAGATAACAGCACATAAGCTCAAAATGATAAAACCAAGAAAACAAACAAGACATACGAACACCCGTAAATGGACAGATGGGTTATCTTATCCTTTAAGAATCACGTGTTAGAATCAATAGCATTGACATATCTTGTAACTTAGCAAATGCATTACTTAAAATAATAAAAATTGTTTTCTTTTTTCTTTTTAGAGGAATATCATCTTTGTTACTACGGTAAACGTGAAAAACATGACAATACATATACATGTATATGCGAAGAAGGATGGAAAGGCGAACATTGTGACAAAATAAGTACGACACACTCAAATCATTCTAATGTTCATTGTGATAATACTTTTCATTCAATTAATATAGGTCTTCAGAAAGGTTTCCGAAATTAGGCGATGACCAAAATCAATATCGGTTATTTAATGGCAATAATGTTCATTCTTGTGACATTGCACAATATGTATCATAAAGTATATGCATACCACAATTGCTATAATATCATTACCTCATATTTTGATTGACCTTTTTTCTATACTAATGTTTTCCCGTTCTAAGTAAAAAGACATTACAACTTAATTAAGTTGTTATCATATCAAAATACCGAAATGATAATTAACTGGTGTGCTTTAATTTTGGTCCATGTGTGGTTATTGAAACATGATACTAATTTTAGTTTTTGATTTACGCAATTTCATTTGTCTTATGTGTCTATATTCGCAGACCAGGAACACTGTGAAAGAGAAATTAAACTGGTTTCGTTTTCCAAGGATTCCTTTTTGTGGCAAGATACACTTGTGTCATCATATGCGACAGTTTCCTGCCCCCCTGAATACACAGGTATGGAAAATGTTGATCATGAAATATCGTGAAATATATTTGATATGAAGATAAGGAGATGTGGTATGACTGACAATGTGACAAATATCCACTAAAGTTCAAATGAAGTGGATTTAAGCAATTATAGGCAACCGTCCGTCCGTCAACATTGAGAAAAACCCAAACCGTATAGTCGGCTATAAAAGGCCCCGACATGAAAAATATGAAACATTTCAATAGAGAAAACTAACGGCCTAATCTATAACAAAACAGTTTACGAAAAACAAATATGACAGACATGAACCAACGACAACCACTGAACTATAGTACAGGCTCCTGACTTAGGACAGGCACTTAAAGAGTGGCGGGGTTAAACATGATTATGAGCGCTCAACCCTTCCCCTTACCTGTGACAGTGGTGCAACAGCATAACATAAGAACAAACTATAAAAATCAGTTGAAAAAGGCTTAACTCATCAGATCGATACAAAGAAAAACATCAAACAAAACCACAGACTGGACGTGGCAGGGTATATCCATTCCTCATCCATAACAAAAAAAAAATACACTAAATACAGATCTGAGAGTACTCGCAGTTACTGACTGCTAGTTCAAAGCCAATAACAACTAATGAAAAAAATCATGTGTTTAAGACTTAAATATCAAGCAGTACACATACAACATCCAATTGATTTAGTGTAGAGACGTCATTAACAGTCAAAGAAATACATGGCTTTGTGCAATGCCAAAATATAGGTATCGACAGATTGCAGTACCGTGAAAGTACCTATATGTAATATTTAGTATGGTTTTAATTCACTGATAACAAAATCAATTTTGTTAATTTGAAATCTCAAGTATAAAAAAAACCTCTCAAATCGCTGGGTATAAGTCATTGAAATACCAAACTAACGTTATAATCAAATATTTGTAGTATGTATCTAGAAAACAACAATCATTATTCAACATTTGACAGATTTCTATAAAATATGTCACGCTTTAAATCGCATTGAATGAATTACTTGTACATACATTAATGATTGTAGATATCTAATTGAACTGAAGCTTTAGTAAAGTTCGGACTTCATCACTAGGCCCTAAACGTTAAAACATGACATAATCACCGATATTGCAAACTGATAGAACTGTTCAAAACAATGATGCCTTAAAAGTCAAATTACCACAAGTTCCGATATTTTGTAGGACACGCTACAAGATATTGCAGAAGTTCAAACATAACGAAGTATGGTGGGCAATGGGAAAAACCAGATTTAACAAACTGTGTCAGTCGTGAAATAAAATTAATAGCTGATAAGGTAAAATGAATTAAAACAACGATAATTGCATAACTGAATATAAATGTGAACATCAGCAGTTACATGGACAAATTGTAAAACAACTGGTTAAATTCCTCGATAACAATAAATTTTATACAACTATCGAGATGGATACATACATGTATGTGCAAACAATTGTAAATACATTATTCAACGTTGATGCGTCTTACAATGCTACACTTGCTACATGTATATTGGCGTTTTCAACAATACAACTTTATTTTGATGTGAAGAACTGACTGTTTCGAAAATATGTTAATCCCCCACAAAACTTTTTTAATTTCAAAATAGTTTATTTAACTCACGATTTACATTTACGTTTCGTCCTTTTTCTAAAAAAGTTCATCGGAAGATACCAAGACCTTGTTGATAAATATTCCGTATCAACTTCACAAATAATACATGATGGTCTTGATGTATAGATTCTAGGTACTAACGTTGCTTATCATCTTAATTAATCGTTATAGTGTTCTTTTATTTGTCTTTGTAAATTATTAACGTTTACTGTTTGGTCCATTTTTTGGTTTTATCCTTTAGACGTGGCTCGGTACTTGTACATCCCGCCATTGTGGTGTGCTGTTGTCATTTTTTTGTATTCTTGTGTTTCAATGTTGCGTAGTGCTTTGATATGTCATTTTGTTTTTCTTTGTTGACATATTTATTTGTTTTTATAGTGATTGAGATTATAACACAATGTTGACTGCTGTACCCCTATTTTTGACATTTCTACCTATTATGTCTTTTTGTTTTGTTCACACATTGTTGTCAATATAATGGAATTTTATGCGACTGTCATACAAGTGAGAGGTTTAGCTAGCTTTAAAACCAGGTTTAATCCACCATTTTCTACATAAGAAAATACCTGTACCAAGTCAGGAACATGACAGTTGTTTTCCATTCGTTTGATGTGTTTGAGCTTTTGATTTTGCAAATTGTTAAGGGACTTTCCGTTTTGAATTTTCCTTGGAGTTCGGTAATTTTGTTGCTTTACTTTTTTGCGCATGGAACATTTTGTTAAAAAGATAGTACTATTGGATACTAGCATTATATGGTTGTTGTTTGATACATGCGATTAAAATTTCTATAATAAAACATGTTCCGAGTATAAATATGTAAAAGAAGAGTGACAACGATGCAAACGTTTTAGAAACAGAATACCATACACGTATATTAATAAAAAAAAGTTACAGAAACTAATCAACGTGCAGTCGAAATAATGAAGCAAAGGCAAATTAGGAATTTCGGATACCAATACAAATAGAACAGATAAAAGCAGCAAAATACATTTAGGTTTCCTATAGAAGATAATATCCTTCACATATGTTGTAGACGAAAGGTATTTATAATCAAGAGATCATTGACCACAAGATTTTGACGAACTTAACACAAAGGCTTACAGCAGCCACGTCATCTTCATCAAAACTATATCCAGGTGATCTTTCCACTGTAACAACGACGGTCAAAGACCTAGCTGATATGGTCAGAAATACAACTGCATCATCATCAATTCTTTCATCCATAGCGCAGGTATCAATAATAATGTTTAGACTCTCTATGTTGCTAAGTAGTAATACTTTGTTTTTTTAACAATTATGTATGCCAGATTGAAATAATTATTGAAAGAATGAAGAACGACAAATACAAATTGAGAAAAAAAAAATCTATAACAAATTTCTTCAATGGGTAGAATGAGTTGCTGGATTTTAAGAGATATGTCATCGAGAGAAATTACAGTTTATGCGATATTTAGGTGGCGTTTTACACCACAAAGTTCGTAATAATACTTAGTTTTGTTTTTTTTTCTGATTTAGCAGTCATACATTTTTTCTATTTGATAATATGCTTGCCAATAAACCAACAATTAACCAAATTCAAACAAAAGTGGACGTAAGCAACTATAGATCACCGTACGGCTTTCAACAACGAGTAAAACAAATACATATAGCCAGCTAACAATATTGAACAATGCAAATGAACTATATAAAACCAATGGCCTTAGTTATTACAAATCAATAAATGAAATACAAACAGTAAACAGACAGATCATGGGGTTCGTGATGCTGAGTCTTTAGTTTTCTATGTTGTGCTCACTTTGATTTACTTCTTACATTGCTATATAACCCATCATTGAATCTAAAAATGTTTTTTTTATCTATCCAGAGTATAAAAACTTTAAAATGTTAAAAAGACAACTACAGGTTAACATTCAGCTTTCAAAAGTTTCTATTCAGGTAAGGGTAAAGGGACATATTTAAAGAAAGCATTACTCTTTGTGCATCTTAATTAAGGTTTAGACTCAATTGTATCTTACAAAAACCATAAACTGGACTTGATTAGCTCCACCCAAAAAAGTCACCTTTGATTTGACTAAAAAGAAGGTAATTTTAATACTATAACTAAGCTTGTTTAATATATACTTGATAGGGATATGGAGATGCTGTGGGCAACATTGTAGATCCCTCATTGCTTCCTGTATGGACTTATACCTCAACGGTACGTATTATGACGATTGCTGTACGTTGAAAAACAAAAGATAAATCAGAATATGGACAAGTTCAATTATAGTGATTTTGGCTCTTTAAACATATCTCATTTGTGAGGAGATGACTTGATTTTGCACATGTTTTTGTCTTTAGGATGCTTTCCAGTTTTCGTATGTTTAACTTTTGGTATCAAGGGTATTGATGAAATTTATTTGCAAAGGTTATATCATTCGTTTTGTTTAAAAACTTTTAGTTAAAATTGATGAATATGTCTGGAATAACATTTGTGATCATTATAATCATCATTACTATTTATAAACTGTATGACAAAATTATTCATAATTTAAGATAATCAATAATGTCGCAAGGTAGACGGAAAGATATAATGAAGAACCGTTCCGGGAAAGTGTAACATCCGTAACATAGCAAACGCGGGGTGTTATTGTGATCGTTTTATTCTATTTTATTTCAATAGTTTTGTTTCTGGTTTCACAGGACTTTGTTCAGACAAATATGCTGTCAATTCTGTCAAGTGTTGAACTATTATCTGCAAACCTTGCAGAGAAAACATCAAGATATATGAACAGACACCGACGGGAGATCAGTAAATATACAGCAAAAGAAACAATGAATGTGAAATCAAAAAATCTAGGTTGGTACACAAACATGTTTTCTGCTCTTTGGTCGGGTTGTTGTCTCTTTGACACATTCCTCATTTCCATTCTAAATTTTATGTAGAATTAACACAGAATTTAACTTGAATAATACAAATATCCACACTATTTTAACAAAATGGCACAAATTCGATTATTTATCATGAACTTAATTAACTTAGTTCAAGTGGTTGTCATTGGTTCATGTCTGTCATATTTGTTTTTCGTAAATTGTTTTGTTATAATTTAGGCCGTTAGTTTTCCCAATTGAATGTTTCATATTTTTCATGTCGGGGACTTTTATAGCAGACTAAACGGTATGGGTTTTTCTCATTGTTGAAGGCCGTACGGATGCCCATAATTGCTTATTTTTACATCCACTTCATTTAAACTTTGGTGGATAGTTGTCTCATGTGCAATCATAGCACATCTCCTTATTTTTATTTTAAAAGTAACTCTCCACTCAAGAATAACCGTTTATATGCGACGAAGTCTACATTTGGATATCAAAACTCTTTGTGAGGTTTTAACAGATTCTTATTAATGTTTTTAAATTATTCATAAAAACGATTGTTTTACATTGCCGATATGTGTAGCTAATTTATTTAATATTTTTTAATAGACTCTATTTGATTTGTATGTTTTAATCTGTTTACAAAGTTTTTCTAGTTATCAAACTGTTATTCCAAAAGTTACGATATAAAAATGCCATAATCCTAAAGCAAAATTATCTTATAGCGACGTGTCAGATTTTACATACACATTTTACCGTAAGGATGACCCAATCTTTACAGACTTGTATGCGTCTAATATAGAAACGAAATGGTATTTTACTGCTGCATTTTAATGCAAATTATGTTTACTCTCTTTAATAGCACAAGTAAATTCGTGTTACTTTTATCGTGAATTTTCTTATGTCTTAAATACTTCTAATTTACATAAAATTATTGAACGTTCACTTACATGTCTACAAGTATTAAACTGAACAACCGGGAAAACGTTCTTATTATAAAAAAGCCAAATATGGGGAATCAAAGTCTAAGGCCACTGGCTTCTAACTCTATATGCAAACTAGAGTAAAAAGGTAGATAAAATATGACACAAGGAAGTTGTAAGTAAAACAATACAAATTTAAAACCTCTCTCTTGCAGATGTCTTTTAAATCTTATTTGAAATTGCTTAAATGTTAGTTTGCGTAGTTGTAGGACAGAAAAAAGATGGAGACATTCAATATTGAAAATAATCAAACATTGATTCAAAATTATAACAGTCTATAGCTACGCTATATTGTAAAGCATATTAATGTAGTTAAAGCTTAATATCTTATAACCATGATAATGATGACCGACAAGATATATGTGCTTAATAAGATCCCTCTTTTGCAGAATTTCATGTTTCGTTCCACGAACGCGTAGCAATCTGTGAGGATTACACTGTCATTCATTTAGGAGACAATGCATCTAATGCTGTTACATTAACATCATCAGTATTTGAAGCAGCTGTTAAAAATTCACCAGGTACGTACGATTTTGTCAACAATGTTTTTTGAAAGAAGTAGTTGTTTTTTGGAAGAAATACTTGTTATTTCCCCAAGTATGATTTCCATTCATTTAAAAGAGAAATTACAGAAGCACCATACGATTTTTTCGAATCACTATAACTTTTTAGTTTCACAGTTTTGTATTGAATCAAAACTTAGGTTTTATAACTTGTTTGTACATTAGCTTTAAATACAAAATCATGACACTAACTGAAAATTGACATGAGTTTTAAAACCTGGTACATTAACAAAGCACCAGTATTTATATCTAATTGGGTGCAGGGTTCGCTAGAACCTCTTGCATTGACGAATTCGAAGCGCCAGTGTTTATATCTGGTTAGTAGTTGTTCGTTAGAACATCTAACAAAAACGAAGCTGCAGTTTTTTTTTATATCATTTCTTTAATTTATCTTGGATTAAATTGTATATTTTTTTCTTTTGACAATGATGCTTTTTGTGCCCTTCTTTATCCTGCGCTCTTTTTGCCCTCTTGGTGTCCTCTTTTATATTCATTCCACTAAATTACGACAGTAACAAACTCACATCATTTAATAATAAAGAGAGTGGAAAAAGACATATGATCACCAGTTTGTCTGCGTTTGATTATCTTTCTTTAGAATTTTGGAAATTAGAAACATAGCAATAAGAAACATAAAAAATCCGTGGAAAGTTAAACAGAATAAAAATTATACAAAGTTTTAAGAAGAAGAAAATGGTTGATAGATAGGTATACCATAATCTATAGGATTTTTAACAGAAAATAACCACCTTTCTTGAATTTATCGCACATTTTTCTGATTTATGAAAATAAACATATTGAGCAACGACGTCAGCGCTAGCCGTTGCATGCAAAGCGTTTACAACCTCGTGATGTCCATCTTTGTTGGCTTGTAATGATCCTGTTAAGATTTGTTTTGCGTTTTCCAACATTTGCGGCCTATGTTTAATTAATATGAGTTAAAAGGATTTTGACGGTATCTAAAATAGAGGCTAAAGATATCAATAGGGACAACAAAACTCACAAGTCAAAAACAAACTGACAATGCCATGTCAAAAAAAAAAAACAAACGAAAAATGAAGAAAAAACAAACAACAGAACATAAAACACAATATAGAAGACTAAAAACTGAGTAACACGAACCCCACCAAAACCCGGGAAGATCCCAGGTGCTCCGAAAGGGTAAGCGCATCATGCTCCACTAGTGCCACCCGTCGTAAGATATAAATATAATTTTAAAGAATATTCCGCCGCTACTTAATTCAATGTAGTGAATTATTTTTAATCTGTGAATATTGCCTGGTCATTATCCTAAATTGCTATTTTAAACTTCGTAATTGTTGTAGTTTATTATGATTTTATCTTTTTTATATATGTTTTTTTTCTTTTTAAAGATCACTACATACAAGTATTTACGGCAAAATATTCTTCAATTGCTGGTGTGTTAGATGCAAAAGAGTTGAAATCAAATGATGATTCTACAAGGTAACACTTAATAATTGTTAATACTTTTAAGAGAGATTACATTAACTGTTAATCAAATTATATAAATAAACTAATATCAATAAACATAATTTGATTAATAATAATAGTAATAAGTATGATTACAAGAATACTAATGATTACAATATCTGAAAGGGAAATATGGCTTATTTGAATATTCAATAGATTGCATTACATAACATGTATATTCAAATAATATGAAAGTTGCTCGAATTTTTTATAAGGTACAAGTGCAAAGTTACTTTGATACAAGTATATTTTTTTTGGTTAAAAAATCACCCTGCTTCAAAACAAATTCTCTGAAACTGTCATTATCAAAATGCTTGATTTCTTGACTGACAACATATTTGTTACGTTTTGAAGACTTGTTTTTCAACAAACAATCGGCCTTTCCATAGTAACCAACTGTGCTCCTCTTCTTACCGACTTGTTCCTTAATTAATATGAGGCTGACTTCATACAGGAGCTTCTTAGGAAGGATGTTAAGAAGCTAGCATTATCCTCTAACTTCACGTTTCGCTATATAGATAATGTGTTCTCATCACATAATTCAACGTTAGGTGACTATGTTTAACGCATCTATCCCATCGAATTTGAAATAAAGGATACAACAGATACAGCAAAGTATGCCTTATATCTTTACTTACATCTAGAAATTGACAACGAGGGTCGGTTGAGAAAAAAACTGTACGACAGAAGAGATAATTTCAGCTTCCCAATTGTGAACTTTTCATTTCTATGTAGCAACATTCCTGCAGAACCTCCATATGGAATGGAATATTTATCACAATTTGATACGATATTCTAGAGCTTGCATTTCCTATCATGATTTCCTTGATATAGGGTTGCTGCTTACAAGGAAGCTATTAAACCAAGAGTACCAAGTGGCGAAGTTGAAATCATCTTTGAAATATTTTAGGGACGCCATCACGAGTTGATTGACCGTTATGGAATATTTGTTTCACAGATGACGACGGATATGTTCCTATTGTTCTAACCACAATCCCGTCTTCTTTTACTCGAACATGATCTACCGAATTAGACTTATCATCGGGTTTGTACATGAGCAACACGATAGGTGCCACATGTGGTGCAGGATCTGCTTACCCATAATTCCGGAGAACACGAGGTCAACCCCGGTTTTTGGTGGGGTTAGTGTTTCTCAGTGTTTAGTTTCTATGTTGTGTAATGTTTTTTGTCTTTTTGTCGTGTTTCATTTTTTTTTGCCATGGCATTGTCAGTTTGTTTTCGACTTATGAAATTGAATATCCTTTTGGTATCTTTCGCCTCTCTTTTGAAAAAATGACAATTATCATAAAGTCGTGATCAAAAGTTAGATATACAATAACCAACCGCAAAGCAATTTTATTTATTTTTTAATTCAGCGTAGAATGAAGTAAAAATTTAGTTAATCAATATCTAAATCTTATAAATCGAATGAGAATACAAATCAAGGTAACACACTCAAACTGGAGAATCGCAGGAACTCCACAATGAGCGAGACTGGGTTTCGTCCATAAGGTGAGAATTTAATCGGTAAATTATAAATTAGACAATTATACTAATATATAAAGATCCGAGACTTCGAAAACATGTCGCTATTGAGTTTAGGCGGATAAATATCGTATCGGTCAATCAGTATTTGTTGGTGACCGTAAAACTTATGAATCGTCGATTTCAGTCTTTCTTCCTCATAACTCTGCGGGAGTACTTTTTTGTGAAAGAAGCATACCTCTGCCAATGATGTCTGTATAGTTAGGACATGAACGTATACGTAGAGATATGCAATCGCCATACGATAGAGCAGAGGGTATGTTACTGCTGAGAATTGGAACGTTGAAATCATAATGTTTGTCATAGATTTTAGTTTGAAGTCGTCCATCTGAGTCAATATCGAGAAGATCAAGATATGAAGCAGCTGTTCAGACAAAACACCGGTAATTTCTTCTATTTAATTCAAACGAATGATTAAATCAACTCCTATAACTTATCATTACAGAAACAGTCCATATATTATCTCTGACATCATATCCAGTAGTGTTCTGAATGTTAACCAAGATGTATTCCAACATTTGGCAAAACCTGTCACTATTATGGTGGAAATAAAGGTTAATATAAACATAACTACTTAAACAAGAAATATTAGGGAAAATGAAGTTCAAATTAACAAGTAAACATACATGATCTGAATTTGCAAACATCACCTAATGTGTTTAGAAAATGAAAGAAAAATGCATTTGACGAGTTAACATTACTACGTCCCTTGACGAAATGTGTATGATTCATAAATGTTCTTTTGTTTTTTTATCAATTACTACAACTTTAGACAGTTGTTTTATTGGAAAAGTATGTGCACAAGTACGAAACAACTTTATATTTGCAAACATTATATATAATGTGTCTAGCAGCTAAACGAAAGCAATCATAAAATCATTGTGTTGTTTCTTGCATGTGTACGATATTTTCATACAAGAAATATGGATGGAGAATGCATAAAACCAGCATTTGCCTTTTTTTCGTGAACTATGCGCAACATTGAACATCTTGTGTAATTAATAGATATCTTTCTTTATTTGACGTGTTTCTTTTGATCATTGAGACAGTTCTCGAAAATATCGTTTTCTTAGACCACAAAACGCAATCGAATGACTTCTTTTCTTGTTTCTTTAGAAATACGTTATAAAAAGGGACAGCTACATGTACGGCAATATTAAAGCAGCCATAGACACACTTATTATATCCAATTCGATCGTAAGATGAAGATAACATCTATCGTCTAATGCTTACCGCTTTAATTGTGAAGAAAACATGGCAAACATTGAACAATTTATTAGATACAATGAAAGTATTTACAAGATATATATATGCACATTTTGTCTTTGTTCATGAGTCTATGCAGAAACTTGTTTTAAAAGAATATAAAAAATTCAATAGAACATCCGCTGAATTTATATAGATGTTATTGTGATACTAGATATTTATATAGTCATTGATTTATCTGAATGGTATTTGTTTTCCTTTATTTGTTCCTTTTTGTAAAGAATAGAAAACACTGTTCCCTTTATTTCATCTTACACTACCGATAAATTGAGTCATTTTAAATTACATTAGCTTCTATCTGTGCGTAGAATTTTTTTTCAAACAAATTAGGTTAATAATGTTATGTTTATATAATTTATTCAATTTTGTTGGGTATATATTTGTTAGTTTTAACTTCTGTATCAAATAGTCTAGATTTTATACATTGTACGTCTAGCGTCATTTGAATATATCCAATGCTTTAATCTATGTCATATTGAAGTAAATTTATTTCAAATCTGTGTCTTAATGTTCAAAAAATATGGATATGGGTATTGACATAAATTTTTCTCTACTCTTTAGAAAAATACAACGATATTTGATTTAAAGGAAAAATGTGTATTTCTGAACATGTCCTCAAGGTAAGTGAAAGTTCTTACAAATGTCTGTTGCTGTCAACATTACAGAGATCTTGAAAAAAACAGGTTTTTAAAAAAAAAAAAAAGACTCAAGCACATATATTATTAAACTAACTTGTAACCGGAACTTTGGATACACCAAACCAGGCACTTTATATATGAGAAACAGGCAATATATGCCCTCAATTTATAATTCATTCATACCTTTTTGTATTATTCAAAATTATCAGTTAATATGTGTTCTACAACGATCACCAGTCCGTCACCTTTCATTTGATACTTCAATGACTAAAATATCTTCTACATAGTTTTATTTTTAAACCTACGCTAGGAACTATTTTGTTTTGAATATTTACTATTTTCCAGTATGTTATTTTTTACCGCGCCCGATTTGGTGGTGATATATCTTGCAAAGTATATCCGAATCATTAATACAAAGAATTCCGCTCAAACCGGTGCTAGGGGCCGTCTTAAACTTGCAGTGAGGTGAGAGTTTCTTTTGCTCTGTGTTGAAGATCTCACTGTGACTTTGAGATGAAAAACAGCAATTGAGGAGCTGTTTCTTTGCTTTTTGTGTGTTTTTTGCTGTGAATGTACTGATTTTGTGTCATGGATGGATAACCCATATCTTTTGAATTTATTAGATTCTGTTTGTTACAACATTTTTTAGCATTGGTTAATATTATGAATATAATTAATTCTTAAATTATAAGCAGCAAATAAAGTATATAAAATAGTAATTATCATAATTATATCCCAGCAACTCACTGTCCTAGCTGAGCAAATGAAAAAAATAAAAATAAACAGCTATTTATTTATTGTGTTGGTATTCTCTGTTAGATAAATCTGTGAGTGTAAATGGTTAATATGTTGAGTTGTAAAGTGTGTGAAGATATTATAGTATATTATGTGTATATTAAGTAAACCACATATTTATATCAATAGTGGCGGTAATATTTGGACAAGTGACGGATGTAAACTGGACACAGCATTATCCAACGACACTCATATTGCTTGTAAATGCACACACTTGACTAATTTTGCTGTCCTTATGGATGTTTTCGAAATACAGGTAATAATTTGTTTTACCAAAACCAACAACAAAAAAGATTATAATAAGATTTAAGAATTTACAAAAAAATGTTTTATTTTAGATTAAGGGATTATAATAACGATGATGATAATTAAAAATCTCATTATTACAAGCAACAGTTGATTTTTATAGCATTTTAAAACAAAAAGACCAGTGTATGAATTTTTATCGCTAAATTCATATGAACCCCCTAACAAAACTATATTCAACATTTTAGTGATTTTATTTGTAGGATCAAATTGACTATACAGATTATACAATACTGACTTACATATCATACATTGGTGGTGTGATGTCTGTATTAGCCTGTGTCATTACAGTCATAGTCTTCCAGTTTTTCAGGTACGAATATATATTAGCAAATGGGACAGTATTTATTGTCTTTTTGAAGTCTTTACACTCCTCCTTTTATACATTTGTTTGTAAATAACAAAATATGACCAGAAGCCATATAACAGTAGTACAACTAATATAACTCAAACCTTGTTTTCTTAAAGAAAATATCTACATGTATATGTAATACTTCAAATTACTATTGAAATGTTCATGTTAAAGAACATTCCAGTTTATGTGGTCTGGTGGTAACGTGCTTTAGTAAGGGAGGTCGTCACGTGGGTTACATCCCTGACCGGTTCAAACAAATGACTTGAAATATAGTATATGCTGCTTCTCTGTTAACCACGCGGCATATAGGAGTCAGATAAATGGTTGGTCGGCTCGGAGTCTGAAAAATGTGTCTAAGCAGAGTGCTATATGTTCATGTGGACTGTCACATTGTGAACGCGCACTTTAGCAATCCGACTAAGCGTGGCGGGTTTTGTAGAAACAGGGGTCTTGTTCATATCTCATTTAAATGTTCTCATCCTGAAATGCATGTATTATTTACCACTGTACGTTAAACAGATATTCTTCATCATTATATTTCAATAAACTTTCTTTATCTCTTTAGACCTTATGTTATCTTTGATATTCATTTATCAGTTTCAATAAACAACTACATACAATTTTAGTTTGCACAAAGAGAGAGTACGGGTACATAAACAGCTTGCAATTTCAATCATTCTGGTTCAGGTTTTCTTCCTGGTTGGAATCGATCGAACGGAAAACAAGGTTTGTATGGTATTACAATCAACATTTTTTGCATTTATTAAGAACGGATGATAGCTTTTGATATATATATATATATATATATATATATATATATATTGTTATTTAAAAATGTACTAACTATATATCACTAGTAAATGAATTTTAGTCTTAAACGGTCATTTTAATCTAAACATTATCTGAAAAGTCTGATCAATAATTTTTTAAGTCATATTCAATTTTCAAATTTATCCACCAGTCATTATCTTTTTAGACAATTCAGTATGATGTTGATGTGTACAGGTAGATAACAATTATTGAAAACCGAAACACTGAATAGATCTTAATTGACTGCAAGCGACTTGTCTTAAAATTACGGAATGTTCATCAGTAGAGTAGCCTAAAAATTTACCGAAAGATTGAAATTGACTAAATAATTTATGGTTCAGTCTTTTAAGAGCTATTCAGATAAAATTACCGTTTCAGATCAAAACTAGTTCACTTATTCAACTAATCATAAGTATTAGAATAAGAATAAGTTCAAGATAGAATTTATAGAATGACAGTACAATATCATGATTTGTAATTAATTATAAGGTACCATTTATTAAGAACAATTCTATGTCACAATCTGTTGATATGACCTTCACATATGTTGCTATAACATGTATAAGCAATGTTTTGTCAAACTAGTTAAAACACTCATCAAATGTATTTGGTTTAAAACCCAGTTTTTAAGACGCGCATTGTGTGTACATAGGACTTATAAGTGGCGTTCAAATCAAAAAGGCCAAATCAAATACGACATTTAAGAGCATTGAAAATAAGTATTCCAAAAGGTTGTGTCACATCAGTATTCCATTTGGAAGAAAAAACTTTCGAAGAGTCCTACGAAAACATTAAAGATCTTTTTTCATACAATTTTATTTACTAAAGATTCCTACCAGTTTAACAAAAAAAAAAAAACAAAAAACAAAAAAAAAAATAAACGAATACCAATAATTTACAATAATTTTACAAAAATTGTATTATTTTTTTTGTTTAAATTGTACAAAATAATGGGGCAATATTATGCATTGCTACGTTTAATCAATTTCAAAAGATTTTGCATGTACAACATATCAAATATTTTTGTTTTTCAGTATGTTTGTACAGCCATGGCTTCACTGCTGCATTATTCCCTAAATTCAATGTTTTGTTGGATGCTAATAGAAGGATTTCATTTGTATGTGATGCTTGTTAAAGTCTTCAGCAGGAGAGCTAACTTCAAGAAATATATGTTGTTTGGATGGGGTACGTATAATTATTAATGCTATAGATATATCAGAATATCAAAATTTTTTATGAATATATAATTGCTATGTGTTAAATATTGTGTTAAAAGCTGTTATATATATAAAATTTTAAGATTCATATGCAACGTATTTGTCTGCATTTTACATTATTTGAATTTGTTCAACGTGATTGCTTAAAAGAAATAATGGGCAAGATGAACAGGAGACCACATTTAAACTACATAAAACCAAAGTATGCATTCATAAGACTTTAATTTCTATATGTTACATGATATTGTGATATTGAATCTGGAAAAGACGCTTTAAAAAGTTGTGTGTCTGAAGCTTTTTTTTCTGAATTTAACTTTATTAGAAACGCCAAAACCCAGACTTTGAAAAGCAAAGATTTAAAAATACTTGTAAATGAATACTGCAGGTGCTTGGACTGCTTTTTCTTTTTAAGTTAAAAGTTACATTAGCAATTAACATTCATATTTATAATTACAGGGCTCCCCCTTCTAGTGGTAGGAATATCCGTTGGCACATTACACGACCAATACGGAGGAAAAAACAGGTAAATGTTAAATACAATGCACGTTTAGAATACTAAAACAATGTTATAAGAATACAATAGATACACTTAAAACTGACTCATATCTTGACGTACATCTAGATATTGACAATGAGGGTCGGTTGAAAACAAAACTTTACAAAAAAAGAGATGATTTTAGCTTCCAAACTTCCATTTATATGAAGCAACCTTTTAGCAGCGCCTGCATGCGAAGTATATATCTTCCTGTTGATACGATACTCCAGGGCTTGTATTTCTTATCATGATCTCGTTCATAGAGGGTTGCTGCTCACAAGGAAGCTATTAAACCAAGAGTTTCAAGCGGTGAAGTTAAAATCATGCATACCTTCGTTGATTTTACGGACGCCTTCACGAGTTGGTTGACATTTATGAAATGTCTGTTTCACAGACGACGACGGATATGTTCCAATTGAAGTAACTACAATTCTGCTGCCTTTTCCCCGAATATGACCTACCGAATTAGGCTTATCAACGGGTGTGTACTTACATGAGCAACACAACGGGTGCCACATGTAGAACAGGAACTGCTTACCCTTCCGGAGCACCTGAGATCACTCCAACTTCTGGTGGTGTTCGTGTTGCTCAGTCTTTAGTTGTTGTGTTTTGTGTACTGTTGTTTGTCTGTTTGTATATTTCTTTTTTAGCCATGGCGTTGTCAGTTTATTTTCGACTTATGAGTTTGAATGTCCCTTTGGGATCTTTCAACTCTCTTTTGTAATCAGCATATGTGTTAATACATTAGTATCTTAACATCGTTAGAAAAAAGTATCGCGAAGTAATAGAATATTTCAGGACGCTAATATTTGAACTTATTCCCTTTCCTGAGCACTTGCGTTCACTCCTAGTTTTGTTTAAAGGGGCTCGTGCTGCCCTTGAGTTGATTTACAGTTTTGTATTCGTTACTGTTCTATTTCTGCAATAAAACAGTTTTTGTTGTTTTGTCTGGTATCACTTTAGTCCCATGTTTCCTGTGATCAAGATTATTGATTTTGTAGATGTGTTTCAAATTTAATACACGTTGCTGCTTAGATTGATTGGTTGATTGTTGATTATGTAACGTCCAGTGCTCTCATTTATATGTTTTATATGACAGCAACTATATCTCAGTGTTTTATCTATAGAATATTCCGACTGTTCACTGACTCTTGTAAATTTTATAAAAACAAAATTTATTATTATGACAAAACAATTTTTTTGAAATTTCAGGTGTTGGATATCCCATAACGTTCTATTATGGACATTTGTACCTGTAGTAGGAATAGTTATATTGGTAAATATTTAAACTGAATGTTTTGGTAGAAAACAATAAAAAGAACGATGTTGAATCAATAATTAGTGTTAGTTTTCATAAAATAACTTCACGTATCTCATATTTTACATCTATAATATACTTTAATCAGAGATAGGTAAACGGAAAAATAAAAGTTATCCGTGAAGATTGAAACCTCAAAACACACAAATCCAAAAACAGTTGTAAATTAACATTTTCTATTTTATTCTCATTATCAAAATTAGCAGTTCATTCGTACAAGTATACGGAAAAAATACGCCAGGAAAATTTATACGATCTACGAATATGGACAAGCGATTTTCATTATATAAAGGGAAGCCATTTTTGTGTAGTTTATTTAAATCGAAAGAGATGACTTAACTTCCAATGTTAGCTTAAAATTCATTAAAAAACCCAACAAATATTGAGCGATAACAACAACGAGAATGATACACCTTTCAACAAGACATATTTTGTGGCTTTATTGTTGTATGATTGCCACTTTAGTATCTACTCCTTTTTTCAACCTTTGATTTCTATCTTATAAAATATACTTTCAAAGGGCAAGCACGTAGGAACACTAAATGCAGAACTGTTTACCATTTAATCCCTGAATTATGACTGACTGAGTTAACAAATTAGGTACTTATCTTCTACTGAAAATGACTTAACAATTTATATACATGTATAACGATAAATGTTTGTACAATAGAAAAGTGTCAGTGAATTTGTTTTACAAATAGCTGCTCATATGTTTTTATGAAATTGGGTCATATTACACAATATTTTTTTTTTTTTAATAAACAGAATTGTTTTTGTAGGTGAATTCTATCATCTTGATAATTGTTCTCCGTATTATGATGAAATCAATGTTGAGCAGAGCTAACTCAGAGGAGAGATCAGCTGTTAAGTAAGTAATGGGCGGAGTTAAGAAAACATTCATTTGAAAACATCCATTGTCTGTACTATTACAGCTGCTGCAGTATTACTTGAAATGTTTCTTCAATGAAATTTTAAAAAGGAGAATAATCGCAAGAAATTGGTTCGAGTTCTAGATTATACAAATTACACTTAATGTATTGTGTGCATCCAAAACCGTTTTCAGGAATTACACTCATCACTCATCATGCAGAAACGTTCCAACTCCATGGCAATTTGAATCATGTATAAAAAATGTTTACAGTAGGTGTTCAATTCATACAGAAATTGATCTTGTTGGCGCCTGTTAAAACGTTTAAACCCGCTGCATTTTTATGAACCTATCCTAAGTCAGGAGCCTGTTGTTCAGTGGTTGTCGTTTGTTGATGTCGTTCATAAGTGTTTCTCGTTTCTCGTTTTTTATATAGATTAGACCGTTGGTTTTCCTATTTGAATTGTTTTACACAAGTCATTTTGGGGCCCTTATAGTTTGTTGTTCGGTGAAAGCCGTACTTTGGCCTATAATTGTTAACTTTTTATACATTGTGACTTGGAATGATAGTTGTCTCATTGGCACTCATACCACATCTTATTTATATAGTATTTCATTCTGCATGAAATCAACCCATGCCGTATGAAATCAACCAATGCCGTCTTAAAACAACCCAACAGTAAAGAATTAATACCTCCGCCCATCTGATTGATTTATATGCTTTCGAATTGTTCGTGTATAAATATGTAGGACTCGGAGGTGGGATGGTGACGATAAAGTGCGATTGTCACGCTGAAGTGCGATGGTCCGTTCGCTGATGTGCGATGGTCTATTTGACGCGTGATGGATAGTTTAGTATCTACAGATGTGCGTTATTATGAGAAGCAGATTTTTTTAATAGTTAGTATATAAATATACATTTATTATTGTCTATGTCTGTCCTTAATTTCAGTTGCATACAAAATGAGAGATCGTCCTCTTTGATTTTCAACATGTGGACAAAACTCTGCGTTAAAATTTTATCTTTCCTTTGTTTCTCTCACGAGTTTCTCGTTTACCGTAATATTATAATACGGAGAGTCTGTCTGCGGACACGTGTGTATTTAGAGAAAGCCAGGCTCCATCGTACGTAAAAGGAACCTTTTGTAGATTTAAAAAAAAACGCTACAGAAGGTAAACTTTCCCCTATCCACCTATCCTCCCTGTTTCTCGTAGTATTAAAAGTTTATAAGCCCCTTATTAACTTAAAAACCTGGAAAACTGCTTCTAACATACAAATTGACTTCTACATCGACATGAAAAGCATTGAAAAGGTAGTTTGTGTAGACCATCGTTCTTCGGCGAAACTATCAACAAGATAGCGTCACAATGCCTACATCGCACTTCAGCGTGATCAAAAACGCACTTCAGCGTCAAACCATCGAACATCAGCGTGACCATCGCGGTTCGGAGTACCATCGCGGTTTAGAGTCCTACAAATATACTTCGTGCGAAACAGTTATGCTTTTGAAAAAATCGCAAATAAATGGTTGATAATATATTGTGTCATATAGATAATCGAACCCAGAGCAAGAAATGAAAATAACACTTTATAAATTGGGTGCGTCCGAAGCACCTTTCTGGATTTACCTTCATCAAAAACGCTGAAACCCGAAAATATGAAAGCCAAGGTTGTATAAATACTCGAATACGCGATACGCTGTATGACCACAAAGTAAATAAAATAAAAAAAAACAAAACAAATCCAACTTAGGTCAATTGTGTCCGAGGGAGTAAAATTACTGTTATTCCTTCGATTGTCATATTTTCGACATAAGATATCGATTGCCAAAAAGAAATTTTCGATTACTTTCTTTTAACTGCGAGGAACTTAGTCTGATTAACCCAAATTTATAGACAAAGATAAACATGTGAAAATGCAAAATGTCGAATGAAATATAGCACGAACAGGATAAGCAAATGGCAGAAATAATGTTACATTAGAAATTATAGTTCCATGGAAAATACATACCATGTTTTATGAGTTCTCTTGAAACGTTTACAGTTTTACGCCTGTAGATTATTACATCATTGAAATTATATCTTAGATGACAAATGTAAAAACATATATAATTAACAAAAATAAATGTAATTTAGGAAATTGCATTCGGTATTTTTCAATTTGTTTTCTATCTTTTTTTGTAATTCCTTGATCTTCTTCCGACCAGTAGCAAACCGCTTGCCAAACTATGGGTTTTCGTTTGGCTATAAGGGATGTACAAATTCGCAGCCACATCCCGTCAGAATGGGAATGCCTGGTGTTGAGAGAGTGTTATGCTGTCTGCACGTTAAGAACTCTTGCAACAACTCTTTGAGAGGTCCGTAGGTGTACTGCTACAAGGCTAAATTTCTGCTCCTTTCAATATACCATCAATTTACAGTGGTATTCCAAATCCCCTCCCCCACCCCACCCCTCATTATCCCGGTCGACCCCCTATTTCATGACCTTCCTATTGTATTACTAGTAAATGTTAATTTGTTCTCGTCCCAAACATCCATGAAATATTTGCCACTTGACATTAAGCAAACAACACTGAATCAATCGTTTTTTCGTCTAACTTGCTTGTTTCAATTCTTAATAATTGACTTTCTGTTTTAGGGCAGGACTAAAGGCAGCTGCCATACTTTTACCATTACTTGGAGTCACCTGGACGTTAGGATTTTTTAGTGTCAATAATCGAGAGACAGTGATTTTTACCTATCTTTTCACAACGTTCAATTCATTGCAGGTAAGATTTCAACAATATCTTCATTTTCCAAATGTTCTATAACCATTACTTTTGAAGTTGTGTAAGTTCATTTTACAGTACAAATTTGAATTCAGTAGGATCCAGAATCCACCTAGTGCAAATCAGAATTGTAATATCTACTAGTAAATAGTGCAAATCTGAATTGTAATATCTACTGGTAGAAATTGGGATGTCCAGATTGGAACTAAGGGGATCCTGGATTGTACTAGATGAATACTAAAAGACACAATAAAAGAATTATTATGTTTTTTTTTATAATGAAATAAACTAATATAATCAAACTTGTCGAATCAAAAAGAAAAGTGATAGGGCCAATGTCCTATGAACTTATTTTACAGCAGAGCCATTTTAAAGTCCTTTAATCTTTACTAAAGTTCATATGAAGTACTGTAATCTTTTAACAGCACTTTAGTGTATATGTATTTCTGCACATTTGGTCAAATTTTTAATACCTATACTTCATGGATACACACTTCAAATTTAGTACATTTTGAGTTAGTACAAGGACCATCTTAACTTAATTTCCACAAATAAATTATTTTTGGAAGTATTCTGAATATTGTCTATCAGATAAAGATTAATTCATGCACACATGTATGCTAATGATGTCTTTTGATACAAAATTTAGCAAACACAGTTTAAATTTTCAATTATGTTTCCAAATAATTATTCCAAAGATAATCTAGCGCGCATGGCTAACACTCTTAAGTTTGGATAGTTTTCATCATCCATTTCTTATGAATTTTCCGTATTTAAAAATTGTTCCAAATTTAAACTAGTCGGCCTTGTTATTCTTGTTAATTTACACAAATGTGTTTCCCTAAACCATGTTCACGTTGTAAGTCAAAAGTGTTTGCTATTCAAAATGTCATTTAAAAAATACCAGGAAATGCTATTTTATAAGACAAAAAAATCCACGAAAATTGATGTGTTTTACCATACAACCGAAAGACATGCATTATAAATTCATGTTTTTTTTCAGTAAAGAATCACAGATCTCCGTAATCCTTATTCCTTAGAGGAAATTAGTATGCAGCTTTTTAATCCCTGACAAATTCACGTTTCGTTGGACACATTTAAAGTGAATTTAAATGATTACATTCAAGCTCCTTTGTTCTACCAGGGGTGATCTGAGCCGGATCAACCTGGCTTGAGTTTCTTTGTTCTGCATGCTTTCCTTTGTTCTGTAACATTTTGGCGGGAATGTCAAATCCACAATATATAAATCTTACAGATTTGTGTTGAAAAAATCCAGTGTCTATGCTGGGTATTGAACTCAAGACCTTTAGCTTATAGACCAACGAGTCAAACCCCTACACCAGGACGATTGGATAAAAACTCTCTGTTAATTTAACATATTTAAACATTGTGTTCGGGGCTCATAAAGGGAATATACTATTTAGTATTAATTAAGCGTTAATGGTTATTTTATCTAATCTAGAACAGCTGGGATGTAAAATAGTTATCCCATTCTGACTTGGTGTGTCAGAGTAAGATCACCCTCTGGCCTCCGGCCATCGGGGTGATCTTACACTGACACACCGCGTCCTCATGGGATAACTATTACGGAAATCATTTATATTTTACATTAGATTAACATGTTAATGATTTTAAACAAAATGCGATCATAGCATTTTAACATCTTATTTTCCGGTTTTAATCCGCAAGGGAAATAAATATCTTTTATTGTTCCACAAATATAAATTTAGGCATGTTAATCAGAAAATAAAGTATATGACCATGAAACTACACTCTGAGATGTAATTAACAGAAATGATAAACATATTCAGTCTTCTAAAATTTATCAGTGTCTTATCCATTGCATAAGCTGTAAGCTCCAAAGTGTCTATAAACAAAACATTCGGCATCGTAAAGTATTGATGTGAAAAAGCATGTACTTCCTATATATAGACAATATTGATGACAAATGAAAGATACGAACAATGACACACGATATAGTTTCAGATGTTTTTTTGTAATCTAAGAATCTCAGATAAAGAAGTGACCAAAAAACTTACAATGTTGCTGATGTTAATAGTATAGTAAAGGAAAAAAAAAAGACTTAAGTCATAACTCAAAACTTATTCCAGCAAGCGCGAAAGAAGAACCTATGAAATTTTAACATAAGTTCTATGTTTGAATCACTTAATCATTTAAATTTGATAGTTAAATTGTGCACGTTTCTTAACACCCAGTCTTTGATAGAACCATGCAAAAGGCTTATAAGTGGGTCCACATGACATGTCACCCAAATGTAATGAAATTTTGGATATATGTTATGATAGTCAAGAGAAAAAAAATACTAGCTTTAAAATTTGATTTAAGGCTTATTATAGATTTTGCAGCGCCAAATATTGGAAAAGGCTTAATTTCCCAAAATTTCCACAAAAATGTCACAATTTTGTTACTCTGAATATGCCAGATTTGGTTATGTTTAGCTGATATTTGAATTGATTTTTATAACAAGCATCATTCGTCCTTGACAAAATGTTTTTGCTTGAGTATATATATAGCTATATTTTGGGGCTGACAAGTCTAAAAAGGGCATTTTGAACATTTTTTTGATACTTCCTAAAAAGGTCAACAAAAAGACAGGAAATCTTGTAAAGTACAATGCATTTTTTAATGTTTTAAATATTTCTATAAAGGTTTACATGTGTGCTACAAGTTTTATGAATTTTGAGCTGGGGTCTCTTACATCGTTACCATGGCAACGGAATAACAATGAGTAATTTTCACATATTTTTCACAATAATCCGTGTATTTAATCATGAAAACTTATTTATCTTTTGACACTGGCTTATGATATTTGGCATGAAGGTATATTACAATAAGACAGTGTATCTCATAAAAATTAAAACCGTCAAATGACCTTGACCTTTGACCTCAAGGTCAAAATACTTGATTTTTTTACATTTTCTTATCTGGAGCACACCTTTTCCTCTCCCTTAACAAAGTCTTTTCATACTTTACACAGAAGTACAGCACCTCAATATCATGTGTCACGTACCATGGATGATGACCTTGATCTTTGACCTTCAAGGTCAAATCAAAAGTCAAGCCAAATATTTAATTTCATATGTCACCCTAAAACCAAACATATTCTTTCTTGCCATGTCAATATGAAAATGAATAGATGTGGACTGATTGCTTATGTGACAACTATCCACGTCAGTTAAAATGAAGTGGTAGTAAGCAATTGATAGGCCACAGAACGTGCAAGACCTTTTTTAGTGCAGCTAAGGGTTTGTCCCTGGGGGCATGCCTCGTCCCTCATAAAATAATGATGTTATTTAGATTTATCTAAAAAAAGGATTCAGAACTCCATCCTTAACCCATATTTAATCTTAATTGCCTTTCTAGTTCATCATGAGGGACATACCCTGCCCCCTACATACCATTGAGGGTAAAATAGCTTGAAATATGTTCATATCCCTACCTCTAAATCATATATATGTTCTCAATCAGCAAGACAACACCTTTGAGTACACCATATATGTTTTTGCTGTGGTTCGTGCCCCTTATATATCTGTTCAGATACCCACCCATAAACCATGTACTCAAATAAATATATCATGACTAGACCAATTAAGTGTAACATATATTGTGTCCCTCATGCCCTACCCCCTCGTTTCATAAATTGGTAAATATATGGAAAACAGTACATATTTCCATGCATTAACCATATATTCTTCCTGGCAATGACAATCTCTTTTTCACCAGAATGATTTCTACAGGGGAGACATTAGTTTTAATTCACTAAAACGGTTCTACCTAGTTGTAATTAAATTCAAAGACAATTTGGTAGAATTCTGACTTTATGCAGAAAAATTTGAAATACTGTGAATATTATTGCATATTCATGGTGACTGTCAAAAATGTGAGATTAATTAAAGCAAATTTAAATTATATTGAATATTGTACAAAACATGAAATGTAACTTAGGTCATGTCACAGTCTGGCCTTATATGGGTAACTATGTGTTGTAGATCGTGTGGCGACCTCTGGGTGTACATTTTTGGTTAGTTAACTTCTGAGATGAAATATTGTCTCTTTGACATATACCCCATATCTGTTCTTGTTGTCCCCCTCAGCATCACATTGCGGCCGGGAATATATGAATGCTGTTCGTTCGTCTGTCCGTCCGAGTATCGGTCCGGATTGTAAACTTTCTAGCATAATTAATCGTTATCTAATTTGGATAAAATTTATGCAGTAGCTTTCTACAGACAACAGGTCAAGTTTGAAAATGAGCCTTGTACAAAAATTTAGTAGACGGGTAACATTGAAAATCTGTTGTGTTATTCAAGTTGCAATAATTTTAAAATTTACAGAAATATATTTTGAAAGTTTCGATCAGAAAGTTTCGACATACATTGTACATGTAAACGTTAGCTTTCTACAGACAACAGGTCAAGTTTGAAAATGAGCCTTGTACAAAAATTTAGTAGCAGGTAACATTGAAAATCTGTTGTGTTATTCAAATTGCAATAATTTTTAAATTTACAGAAATATATTTTGAAAGTTTCGATCAGAAAGTTTCGACATACATTGTACATGTAAACGTCAGCTTGTTAGATTTCCCAAATAAACTAAGAAAACAATGAAGATTTGATAAATAAAGGCTGGGTTTTGAAAAGGTCCAAGAAAGTTGTAAAATTTCCCCAAATTTTAGAGACGTTATTATAATACCACATCTTTTTATATTTATATTGTATGCTTTTTTGAGCAAGGAGAAAAACAACTTGAAAAAGACCTCGTTATGAAGGCATTTGCGATCGCCCTAAAAACAACTCCATATAAAAAGTTTCCATCAAAAGAATGGTTATCATTAAATTAGATCAGAAGCTTATTTGGAAACTTTACTTTAAAGAAAACAAATGAATTGGTGGACAATTCCAATAAAGTGGAAACAACTGATGAAGCAGATGTCGAACATGATTCAGACTTCATTGAAGTACTACTGTCAAATATTGAAT